ATTAGATTAGAGGATCATAAAAATTAAATCTGAAAAAATATATGATTTTTATGTAAAAATAAAAAACTTAGAGAAAAACCCGTATTTTTCGTATTTTTCGTATTACATGTATTTTTTTTTGCTATTACACCACTGTACATTAAATATACGTAATTTGTAAGGGATAAAATTTACCCGGTTTCACAAATATAAATGAACATGTAGATACCTTACCATAAAATCATTTGAAAAATTACGAACTTGACAGCAAAATTCACACTGTTAGAAAGAATTTTTGGCTGTGCGATTGTTCTAGCGTTTAGTGATTAATATTTATTAATTTCATAATGAATTAGTGAAGAAAAATATTGATTCAACTTTATTCAAAGACAATGTTGTTCAACAAATAATAGTATGAAAGAATTCTTAAATAGCCTAAGATCTGAAAGAAGTTGTTACAGTAGAAATTGGCTTTGTTGCTGTAATTATACGTCATTTGTTTGATAATAATAGAGCGTACACATTTGTCGGAAGAGCTTGACTACCAATTTTGGTAGCATTTGCTTTAGCCTATTATTCGAATTTAGGTCTTCGGACTCCTCTTGCGAATTTTCCCGAAAATTAATTTATGACATGAGGTCTTGCAGGCTAGGCGATTGAAGTTTTAATGTGTCTCGTATAGCCAATTTATGACGTGATATTTTTTTAAAAAACAAGATTACCAATTTTAAATTACGTGGTAGCTCGAATAATTTAGTTGTATTGATCATTATCAAAGAATATTATGTATGAATGCATAGTATCTATCATTTTTTATGATAATTGATTTTTCATTCTTTGTTAGCGTCAATGAGCACGAGTAGCTCCAAAATTCATGATAGGATCAAGAATATCGATATATAATCTGTTGTTACACAAATACTCGAGTGATGTCGTAATAATTACGTCCGAGTGTTTGCATGGTACAGGTAAATAAACAAATAGAATAAATACTTGTAATAAAGTTTCTTCAATTTTTATGGTTCTTGTTTCACATTTGGATTAGAGCAAGAGAACCGAATGTTATTTATTGCTGGGCGAAAAATTATGATTGTCAAGAGGTTCAAGTAAATCGTATGATAGACCTGAAGTTTCGTTGGAGCAACAGCAATGTGTAATAAGATGCGCTTAGTCCTGATTGAAGCAAGTTATATGGTTAATTAAAGTAGTTGCTCAGATATTTTAATTTTATTGAAAATTGCCAGGTCAGGGTGTAACGTTTCTTGTACTTTTTCGCACTAATTCAGGTTTTCTTGTTTGAAAAACACAGCTAGACACACCTTCTGGTTCAAGACACATGAATAATCAAAACATGATTCTAATTAAATAGAAACGTGGTTGGTCTTTTTTCACAAGAGAAGCACAAAAGTCTGTTTTATCTTGGTATTCAGTTACACGTCTGTCTTCAAATATCGTATTAGAGCAGGAAACAATTCTCTTTCTTTCGGTTCAAAGAAAACTGATTTTTTATATTACGTTTATATAAAAGTTCTCCAAATTTGATACAAAGGGGTGAGAATTCTTATGGTAACTGTGTAGCTTACAAAAGATTCCCTCCACCAGAGGAGAATCGAGACCTGTAAAGTAAGTATAAAAAGCTAAACGAAAAGATAATTCACGTATCGGAGATTTGGCAGCGGTTTGTGAAATGTCGTATTCGTTGTTTCTTTCTCTTTTAATTGCATCTGCAGGAAACCAACAAAAATCAACTTTCATTTTGCGATAATAATAGAAGTGATTTCTGGGGGGTTTTTTTTTCGTGGCTGAACACCAATAAAGCTAGCAGTCAAAGTAAATCGCAGCTTTTTAAATACATCTCTGTATATTTTGCGTTATATTAGAAAAACTATTCATAAATAAAAAGTATAAATTAATCAGATCATATCGATATGGCAAAAAATTTATGAGTTGATGTATGCATCCAGATGCATCTTTAAAGAGATTGTGACTGTATAGAAGTCAAATTTCCCTATGTTTCATAATACGTAGCTGAGTGTGATTGTATTAGTGTGACTGTATTATAACCACACTTTCGGAACCAGAAAAAAGTGTCGATTTTAAAGAGGTTATGACTGCATGGAGGTCAAATTTCCTGTGCTTCATAATGGCTGGGACCAGGGAAATGTGATGGTAGAAAGGGTGCGACTGTATAACCATTACTATTATATTGTGCATCTGTCTAAGTCACAATGAAATTTTTTTATACTGAAATGGTCTCGACATTGAATTTCTATTAGTCATTCGAAAATTCGTTTTACGATAATATAAATATTAGATCTTTTCGATATTATTGACATCTTCAAGTAAAATATTTTTGGTCACAATGATAAAGGAAAATCAGTAAATTATCCAATTATAGATTTATGAATAACGACAACGATAAAAACAATCAATCACCGAAGGAGGTAAATTACATAGAAACCTCTTCAAGTGTACTCTCCTCCCCTGGGACAGAGCGTGCATTTATAGAGAATAAATAATTAGAGGTCTTACAAGCTTGGGAGCCATAGCGTACATTTAGAGAGTGTATGTATAATATGTGCATTTGTAGCATGATTTAGTTCAAAGCGAACGTTTCAGACAGATAACAAATTTCAAAAAACATTAATATCGGTATTCCATTAGCTTCATTTTTAAAAAATTGCTGCAAAGGTTTCTTGTTTACTGTTGTTCCATACATCTTATATTTATTATTATTATTATTATTATTAATAGATAAATCAGCATAATTTGCGAGGTCAAAAAAACATATAAAGAAATAACATAGATAGTAACTTTGTTTTAAAGAAATTTGTCCGATTTGTTTTGTTAAAGAGCCGACTGCGAAATATAAAAACTGCGCGTATAACGTCTTGAATAAATTGTATAAGATTGCCGTCATCGGGTTCGTAAGAATAGCATTGCGAGTAGAAATTTCAATCGATCGATTACTGCGGTTTAGTTCGATATTGATTCATTTCAGATATTATTAAATTATCTGTTTAATTGAAAAATTGAAAAATTGGAAATTTGTAAATTAGTATTCAAACAATTAAACATAAACAAAGTAATTTAGCGATAATTACATTTACAAAGTGTGCGGTGTCTGATTCTTCTGATTATTAAAATTAGTAAATCTACAGAAAATAAAATATCTGGAATCTTTAGATCAAGTAAAAAAGTTATAAAAAAGATTGAGAAATTTCTAATTACCTATAATTAAAACAAAAATAATAATAAAAATGATTTGAAAAAAAGTTGTAGTCTTCTTGTTGTGTCTCGCCCGTCGTCTTATCACATTGATGAACGACGGGCGAATATGTAAGTACTAATTCGTTATTCATAATTAACCGTCGCAAGGTCAAGAAAATTTTCTGCCGCTTCCATTTTTATATCTTTTCAAAATGAATCGTAGTCACGCGATGGTTCAAATATTTTGTGTCTAGATGTTTTGTGATCAAACCTTTTCTCAAAATAAGAAAATTACCTAATTGATTAGCAATACTATAGTTTTTTTATTCCTTAAAATAACGCGGAAATTGCGCGACACACGCTTTTGTAGGGTAATGCAGAAAAAGGAAACCATTATAATCACACTACGAAACAGTCTTGCCAAGTATATGTGTTTTGTTCCAGACACCACTGATAACATGACTATTTAGTACATTGATTGCATTGCACACACAATTCACAATTCTTCGGGCGCCAGTAATTGTTGAATTAGATTAATTTAAATATGCAAACTTGGGTACATATATTGTGTCCAGATGATTCTTAAAAAGATCCGCCTAGGCATACGCCCAATTCTGGATTTAGGCTAATTTGAAAGTGGGCTCATTGTTCAGTTTTTTGGTAACACTGCATAAAACAAAGCTCATTAATTTTGTCGTTATTGGCATTAGTAACATTCGACTACGTACGTATATCAGAATTGCGAACTTTATTATTTATGTCAATATACGTACAGATTTAGATAGAAAAAGCTGTGCTAGATTTTTTATTTCTGTTTTGCGTAATAATTAGATATCGGTAATTGTACTGTTATTGCAGATAATCATCGTTTTTAGAATTAGATTTTTTATTGGTAATAAGATTCCTTGCATCTTCTTAATTGACCGATCGATCCAATGAAATTTTTATCTATTAACCTTCTCGTGTCACAGATAGAGAATTCACGCATAAGCCTAGAGCTTTTGAGAGGTCTAAGAATTTACGGGTATTCCATAGCGCAATGTTTTTTTCTTGTGTTGATGGATCTGATACCATCAACGACCTGGCCTGGGCAAGGAGTCAGTCAATAAAATCGATAATACATACATAATAGTAATGCATATCTCATTGAATGGGGAGCATGCATTTTCTTTATGACATAATTGCATGAGAATAATTACTAAATTTGTTTGTAATAATTGTGGTAACAGGCTTTTGATGGCTGAACGAATAAATAAATACCCATTTTTGCCAAACAAAAATTTCCGAAAAGTACAAAAGTCGTCGATCTCATCCTAAATGTAGAAAATGGAAAAAATAGAATTAACAAATGGGGTATTATAATTCTAGCATCATGAACTTTCGATTTATCGTTATGCAACTGTTGCATATTTGAAAACGCTATATATTAGAATAATGAAAGGAGAAACGTAAACCTAAAGACAAATACCCCGCTTCCAATAAGATGATATAAAAATTAGATTATGCGGGAGTGACAAATTTAGATTCGTCGTTTTATTTTTGTTTTGAAAACAAAAAAATTGCCCCAATAAAGCGTCATCAATTAAAAACTTGGAAATTTTTGACAAGAATATTTGACCATATTAAGTTTGTTTGTATCGCCAATAACAAGTAAATTATAAAACAATGTTAATCTAATTAATAAATAGTTAAAATTAATACAATATGACGAAAAGAATAAAACAATAAATTCATTCAATAACATCAAGTTGTGAGATATTATCTTCATACAATCGACAAAGAACGGAAAGTAGCGACCCCAAGAGTTTCTAAAACTACGCTTCTTGATAAATAATTATTCCTTAGTTTTGTAAAACACAATTACGCAATTTACTTTCACACGATTAGCATTCAATTTATTTAAGCAAAGATTTCGGTTGAGAGTGATCCCACTTCAAATTTTTGTACAACTTACTGTATAGTACTGTTCCTGTCTTATTACTAAGAGAATGACTTGAGTGGCACAATATTTACAGGGAATGGTACTTTAAGCCGTGCAACATCACGAAATTTAAGAACAGCACGAAAGTTAGTATAAATTTATAGTAAGAAAATATAATTTATTGCGTTATATACAGAAGTGATAGCGGTACAACTTTTACCGTATAATTAGCCTTCTAAAAAAGTTGGTGTGAAAAAATATATGGTGGTTCTGTGCACCACTGGTCCAAAATGTATTTACAATATTTAAAGATCATATACATATTCATATTCTGATTTGCAGAGTTTTGGTAATTGTGACATGTTGCTACTATCTTAACAACATGAAATTAAATAAATATTCTGAGAGACAAAAAATCATTACTGGTTTTAGCATTTCCATTTGTATTCAAGCCTGAATTAATATAAAAGGAATTACTTAATCTTAATTTTTTAAGAGTATAATATCTTAATAATATTTCAGAATAAATTTTTTTAATAGTTATAATTAAAAGTTTTCTTCTTAAAAAATTTATCATTTATTACTTGTAAAAATTTTATATACTACATAGTGAAAATAACATAATTATGTTATTTTCACTTAACTTAGGTTATGATGACAGTGTCAGATTTCTGTCATCATGACACAGATGATGGTGTCAAATTTTTGTCATCACGATACAGATGATGGTGTCAGATTTTTATCGTTACGACACAGACGACAGTATCAGATTTCTATTGTCATAACACATGTGATATATTATATATCAGATTGACAATAGTGGATGATTTTAATCATCAGGATACATGCAATATAATATATATCAGTTTGGTGATTGTGATTAATTTTGATTATAAAATACTTCCTGATTTAGGTTATAATCCTACTCTATATGATACTTTAAAGCTTCTAGATTTTTAAATTCGATGTCATTTTTGTACATATTGAATTAGTGTTTATAGTTGATTTCCATTGCAATAAAATAGTTGAGATAGGTTATGCTACCAGATTGGCTTTATCATAAAGTTGATGGGTGAATCAGAGGAGACAAAAAAATAAGATTACATCTTACGATTTATATATCATTAATAGTAACAAGATTCTTGATTACAGTTTTAAGAATATATATAATATTTTTTAATTCATTCTCAGACTCAGAATTATAATTTTTATCTAGCTTTTCTATTTAAGTTTTGAAACTCTTTTCAATCTTCTATATTAAGAGTTTATTTATAGCTTGATCTGGCTTAATGTTGCAGTTTGCTTCCTCAATCTTTTATGTTATAATTTTATCAATAGTTTGAGTTAGCTTGCTTTTAATAAATATTGATTTATAAATTTTACATGATAATACAACAAGATCAATTAGTTGATAATAAATATTGATCTATAAATTTCACATAATAATGCAACAAGATTAATTGATTGATAATAAATATTGATCTATAAATTTCACATGATAATACAACAAGATCAATTAGTTAATAATGAATATTGATTTGTGAATGAATAAAATCAATAAAATTCTATATTTTTAATTTTAAATATAAATATATATTATATACAAAAATAAAAATATTAAAAA